TATATTTGGCTCACACACTTGGATAGCCATCTTTCTCTGCAGATTGGCACTTTGCACATCTACTAACAGGGGCCAAGTTCATTGAAAATTATTCGGGATATAACTGTTCCGCCTTGTTCCATTTTTATTCAACCGCTTACATAACGAAACATTGTTAATGTTCACACAGTTATAGTTCACTTTTTGTTTTTGCCCTTCTTCATATTTTACTCTCTCAACTATACACAATTGTCACTCTCACACAACTATATACAAGAGAAAAAAAAATCTCACAATGCAAAAAGAAAAAAAAATATATATAGCCATCAGTGAACTTCCTCATTAGAAATTACATTTTCAAGAATCACTTCCTTATACTTTGTAAAGTGTATTATTGTAATAATTACGATGAATATTAACATTTTTTTTTTCGTTTGCTAGATACAAACATTTGACTATATTATAGTATTGAAAGATGGACAGATGTTTAAATGAGATTGTTGAGCTCGTGGGAAAAATTAATCAAGAAAGTTTAATGACTTTCAAGGCTCGACATGAATTTGCAGATTAGATATATAGATTGCAACTGTTTACTTTTTTTCCTGAATGCAGAAGTTGTTGCGTAATGAGGCGCCGGATAGAAGAGGATTATGATTTTTATGATGATTAAAAAGTCCGTTGGGATTTTAAATTTTTCTCGAATTAAAGAAACGATGAAATTAATTAATTACTTACACCCACAGAGAGAAGTTAATGATTTTTAATATTGAAACATTTTTATTCGTTATACAAATTAATTTTTTATTTTAATGAATATAACTAATGAGATTATAATATTTTTTTATTTTATTTTTATTATCCTGATAAATTCGAACGACATACCTCAAATTATTTAGGCGTTAGACGACACAAGGGAAACCATAACCATTATAGAAAAATAAATTCTTTATACATTTTTTATTGTTTTAATTTACTATAATTTTTTAATAAAAAAAAACAATTCGTTCATTTTAACTAGACTGCCCCCTTTATTTAAAATCGAATACCGGTGGAGTAGTTTTTTGTTTTTGTAAATTACATACTTTCAAAAAGAAAAAAATTGATTGGAAAACGTTCTCTTCGGAAAAAGTGAGAAAATAAAAAAAAAACAGTGAATTTATATTTCTGGAGAGGCAAAAAAAAAAGTTTGTGGAAGAGTGGAAGGTCGGAAAACCGCGCACTTCTCTAGAAAAGGATGCTGTTCGTTTATGGTGAGGTCAACTAATGGTGAACGTGGTTAATGAGCTGTTAAGAGATAGGTGGACGTTGGAGCAAACGCTCGAGATGCTGGAAGCTTTAAGAGCGCCGATGCAAGTTATTTCGTGGTTAAACGGCAGGAGATCCCTCACTGATTCTAAGGAATTTATGCTACTTTTCAGACCCTCACCACTATATGGAATACTATTACACTATACGCTTGAGCACTTTCCACCAGAGCATCTTTTCCCTCTTTTTTCTCTCCCCCCTCGTCCCACCCTTTTTTCAAACTTCTTCCTAATTTCCATACTTAAGAATATTATATTTCCCTTCATGACAACTGGGGCAATAGGCACTTCTTCTGGAATTTACATTTTTGTCCAGTAGATATTATTTTCACTTTAGAGCTAACCTATTATTTACATCATAATAATGATCATTAGCATAATATCCCTTTCTTTTCGATCCAAACGAAAATAATTAAAACTAGTTCGAATTAATAATAATTTAACTAAACAATTTTATTCACCAATTTAACTTGATGATTAAAAGTCACTTTTTAAACTCACCATTTTATGGTTATGACTTTGTAAACAAACAAGAGTTGGGAAACAATAATTATAAATAATTATAATAAAAAGTCACGTAAAGCAGAACATTTTTAATAAAAAAATTTATTTTATTGAAGTAAATAAAGTTAAATAGGGCACTGAACATGAAGCATTTAGTAAATTCTTTTTTATTTGAATAAACCTTGGTATTTTATCAAAATTTATGGTAGACAAATAAACATTCAACTAATTTATTTAAAAACAAAAAAACTAAGATAACTTTTATTTACAGTGCCACTCAATAACTTTTGCCCACCCGATAGCGATTAAACACTTTACAAAGTTTTGTATTTTGTTTATTATTACCTAAAGTTAAAAAACTCAAGAAGGTCTCTTTTTAAAGCTCTTTTCCTGAGCTTTAACACTTTATAAAACAGAAATTAAAAAATAATTTTGCTAATGTTTAAAAAATGTTATTACAACATAAAATTTTTCAATACTTTTTTTTGTTCTTTTAAAGCGATACAGTTTTTTAGAAAATCATCGCATGTGAATCACACTTTTATCATTTAAAAGCTGGTTTTATCACCTTTAAAACGCATTTTTTAAAATTTTTTAACAATAATTTTTAAGAATAATATGATCATTTTTTAAAAAATTAGCCATTTTTTCAATTGTTGATAACTCAAAAACGGTTCGTTTAAACAACATTTTTTAACAAACATAAATTGTTCCTTTTTAAATATAGAATCAGAAAAAAATATAAAACATTTTTTTTAGAAAAACATTTTTTTAACATATTTTATTTTAAAAATTTTTTTTCATTTTTTATATTTTTAAATTTTAATCGTAGAAATTCGCAACTTTTACTCACCACAACAAACAAATAAATTTATTATCGTATTTATTTAAATATTTTTAATAATTGTAACTCAGCAATCATTTAAATAACTTTAGATAATATTATAATTAAGTTTAATGTTTGTAAACTGATCAAATTTTATTTAAATTATTGCTTTGTTGAAAATAATTACATAAATACAATAATAAATGTATTTTTTGTTGTGGTGAGTAAAAGTTACAAATTTCTACGATAAAAACTTAAAAATATAAAAAATGCAAAAAATTTTGTTTTCAAAAAATATGTTAAAAAAATTTTATGCTAAAAAAAATTCTGTATATTTTTTTCTGATTCTACATGTAAAAATAAAAAATTTATGTTTGTTTAAAAAAATTTTGTTTAAACGAACCGTCTTTGAGTTATCAACAATTGAAAAAAATGGCAAATTTTTTTAAGAAATGATCATAATTATTATTCTTAAAAATTATCGTAAAAAAATGTTTAAAAATGCGTTTTAAAAGTGATAAAACCAGCTTTCAAATGATATAAGTGTGATTCACATGCGATATTTTTTTAAAAAACTGTACTGCTTTAAAAAAAAATTGAAAAATTTTATGTTGCAATAACATTTTTTAAAACATTAACAAATTTATTTTTTTAATTTCTGTTTTATAGTGTTAAAGCTCAGGAAAAGAGCTTTACAAAGAGACCTTTTTGAGCTTTCTAACTTTAATAATAAACAAAATACAATTTATTTAAAAATATTATAATGACGTAAATTATTAAAAAAATATTTTTTTTAATTGAAAACAAGAATATTTTAAACAAATACGATTAATATATTTTAATACGTTTATAATTTTTATAAATTGATACTTCAAAAGGCTTTAATTTAAAATTTTATGAAATTTCAATTTTTAATAAATTTACTTAGAAATTTCAATTTTTGCAAAATGTTAATAATTTAAATTCTTCTCGAAATTAGTTAAATTTGTCAATATGTATTTAATTAATTATTAAAAATAATGGATTTATAAAAAAAGTTAGTTAAAAACATTTTAAAGAATAAAATTTTGGAGAAGTTACCAATGATTGCAGAAATTCAATTATTTCCAAAAGTAATAAAATTCTTCTTACAAAAGTTCAATTATATTTAAAGTTTAAAAACATCGTCAAAATCACAATTATCTTTATAAGTAACAAAATTCTTTTCCAAATTTAAATTATTTTTAAAAATTTTCCTGATTTCAATGATTTGCAATATCTACAAGGTATTTTAATAAATTTTCTAAAAGAATTCAATTTTTTAATAAAATTATAGGTACTCAAAAATTTACAAATTAGTTTCATAAATAATAAAGCTCATCCCAGAATTTTAATTAGTTTTCGTACAGTTTTAATCAAATTCCTCAAAAAATGTAATTATTCTTAAGAATTTGATTAAAATTCGTCAAAAGAATTCAATTATCTAAAAATTTGTTCATAAAATTCTTTATAAGAATTAAATGTAAAAAAACATTCAATTCTTCAATAAATTATTTTATATTTGAATAATTAAATCATTTTCAAAAGGTTTCAAATTTAAATATTTGAAAATTTGAATTTTATATACTTGTTAGTAAATGAGAATGCCCTTTTTTTGTTTTTGAGTTATTAAATTTCAAAGAATAAATTGCGTCGCGGTCGAATATTTTTAAAATTAATTATTACAAATCACTTTAAAATTATCAGTTGTCAGTCACTTCTAATCAATTTCTCGTCTTTACCGATTTCAAAGTGTTTTATTATAATTTTTTTTTGAATTATTAAAACTTTTGTATACATCACTGCCCTTCTTTATTGTATTTTAGAGTTTCGTGCAAAATTTCAGCTAAATTTATTAAATATTTAAAGAGAAAAGTGGTAGAAAAAATTACCATTGAGAAGACAATCAAATGCTGTTTATGTGCATGTTGTGTTCCTTTATGTACTTTATTTTTATGTATAAAAAAAAGAAATAAAGAAATTTCTTTGTTTCACATGTTCATCATTATTTCACACTAAAATGAAAATCTTAATTACATCACGAAATTAAATTTCGTGTAATAATAATTTAACTTTGAATTAATCCAAGATTAAGTTGATTTATTCAATTATATTTCTGGATTATATAAAACTAAAGAAAAATAATATTTCCTTCTATTTTAGTCTCTGTCCTTGTAGGTAGCATAAATTTTTATACTCTGTTGCAGACAACAATAAAACTTATCAGTACTCTTTCTAATAATAAATATCGTTACTCACGATTGACAAATGTTACAACTTTGCTTTTTATGACAATATTAAAAAAGAACATAAAACTCCCAGGTATAAATGAAGAAGAAATTTTTTAAGCTTTTTACAGTGTAAAAAATATTAAATCTTGTTTCAAAATCAAAATGATTAATTTTCGTTTAATTTGTATTGTAATTGCCTTTTTCGCTATTATTGCAGTGTTCGAAAAAGTTTTATCAACTTTAATGTACATATGTATGAAGCAAATAGTACAAAAAAAAGTTATTGTATTTTAATATACATTATATGTACTTAAATTTGAGATACATGTATATTAAATTTAAAAATGTGGAAATATGAAAAATTTTTGTCAATCGGGATTCGAACACTATAATCAAGATTAAACTTGGTGCCTTGGACCTCATGATCAAATGATCACACTGAGATCTTAGGGTTATGGAAAAATTATTCCATTTAATATACATGAGTATTAAATTTCAGTGCTTAGTGTATATCAGTGAGTAAGATTAACGAGACTGAACTAATGCAATGGGGAGTGAAACTATTCGTCGCAGAGAAACTCTAAAGTAATGACCCACATAGCACATAACCTTGCAATAAATTTGTGGTAAGGTTACCGGAAGGTTGCGAGGTAATCTTGCTCGATAAGCTTGCCACAAGATTAATGCAATATATTGTAAAATATTCTTTTAAACAAAATTTTTTTCAAAGTTTTTTCTATTTTTTTTTAAATTTTATTAAATTTTAATAAATAATAGTACCTAAATAAATTATACTGAAGTACAAAAAAAAATTTTTGAAAACTTACAGTATGGTAAAGTTTGTCATTCTGCGAGTATAGTTCTTCTGCAGAAAAAGGTTTCATTTCTGCTAAACGTCACATAGTCAGTCCAGTCTCCTTAGTCTAACTCCCTCGATGCCTCCCGTTCATAATATTCTATCTTAAAGGGCAATGCAAAACAATTCTATTTGCAAAAGAAGTGCAATATGAAGTTAACAAAAAAATTGTGCAAGATTCTATTTCAAATTCTGTGCAAGACAATTCTATCTCAAAGTTAAGTGCAAAATATTACCATGTTTACAAAAAAATGCTAACAAAAGTTTTAATGCAAAGATATAATAAACTTTAATACTAGTTAAACCAATTTTGAGGTTCAATGTGTATTTTTTATTTCATCCAAGATGAAGAATTATTTTTTATTAAAACTTTGAGATAGAATTGTCTTGCACGGAAATTAAAATAGTATTTTAATAAAAATTTTTAATAATTTTTAATAATTTTAATAAAAAATACTTGTTAAGAATTGCAAAGACTTTAGCAAAGACATTAATTTTCAGTTATTAATTTTTATTATAATTAATTTCATTATTACGTTTTACTTTTAAGAAACTTTTTACTATTTGATGTTTGATTCTTTATATACGCAATCTAAGTTTATGTATTCTGATTCTATCTAAATAATCTGTTTTTAAAGTATCGTGCTTCGTTCTTCGAAATTAGTATGTGACGATTTTGTTTAAAGTTTATTTTCTTAGAAGACTGATAATGAATCCTCACTTTTGATAGAACAAAGAATCATCGATTCTCCAATAGAATTTTGTTTATTTTATCCCTTCTGCGACGAAAACTCCTCCTTAAGTGGAGCTCTTGAAGCACAAAGGTTTTCTACATATTCATTAGCTAAAAAACTGTATTACTATTCGCACGTAATTCTATAATCTTTCCCAAAAATCATTTTTGTCATAACTTTTATGTATAATTAAAAAATGTAAAATTTTTATGTGAACAATAAATAACACGATTATAAATTAAATATACGAAATTACTTTCTTATTGGAGTAAAATTCAATAAGAAGACACTTTATAGTGTCACTTTAAAACAATACTTATTGCACAATTCTTTTGTTAACTTCATATTGCACTTATTTTGCAAATACATAGAATTATTTTGCATTGAAGTTTAAGATAGAATTTTATGAACGGGAGGAGTCGCCCTGATGTATATTAACATTACGAACTTTTTTAACAGTATGGTTATTTTTGTCCATCTTCTTCAGGAATTAAAAAGACAAAATAATGTAAGTGTAACATAATTAAAAAATAAGTGTTTCTAAATAATTTAAAGCATTCTTCTTACTTAATTCTTTTTATAGAGGGTAGTATTTCTAATAAATACAAACCTAAATGACAAATTGATCATTCGGTAAAAAATTGATCAAATTGGACGTTTTTATAATGAAAATTTTTGTTTTCACACGTAGTTTTTAATAAAAATATTTTTAAAAAATTTTTAAATAATTTACGATGGGAAATATTTATTTCCATTTATTTCCATTTTTTCCCATTAACGATGGGATATATTTATTTTGAAAATTTTTACAGGAATTCAATTATTTACAAATTTTTTTTATAAATTTCTTCGCAATAATTCAATTATTTTCATATAAATAATAACATTTTTACAGGGATTCAATTATTTTTATAAATAATAAAATTCTTTTAGGAATTTAATTATTTTCATAAATAATAAAACTCATTGCAGAATTTCAATTATTTTTCATGCAATTTTAATCGAATTTCTCGAAAAATGTAATTATTCTTAAAAATTTTATTAAAATTCTTCTAAAGAATTTAATGATTTAAAAAATTTCTTGATAACATTTTTTATGAGAATTTAATTTCAAGAAACATGAAATTAATAAATTATTTATTTTTGTATTCAAATAATTGAATTCTCGTAGAATTTACTAATAAAAATGGTTTTAAAAATGAATTTCAGTTAAAATTTTAGATTATAATTAAATATTAAAAGCATTATAAAGTGGATTTTTAGAAATAATTAAATTTTAAAAAAGTTTTAAATTAAAATCAGGGAGCGTTCACAAATTACGTCACGCTTTTGGGGGTAGGGGGGGGCCTCTACTAAACGTGACACAATGTATTTTTCTCATGTGAAATTGCAAAAATTGCGTGACAGGGGGTGGGGGTCGAAAATCTCCAAAAATTGCGAGACATCATTTGTGAACGCTCCCTCATTGAAATTCTTAATTTTTCATATTTTTGACAAACCATTCTATGTAGAATTAATTCTTTTTAATAGTTTAATAGGATTTTTATTGAGATTATTTCAAGTTTTTATTTTTCAAATATATTTAATTGCAGAATTTCTGAATAATTGAAATTTTGTAAAATTTAATTGTAAACGAATGAATTTGAAAATTCTCAAAGAACTTTTTTAAAAACTATTAAAAATAATGTATTTATTGAAGAATTTTAGTTAAAAACAGTAGAAAAAAATTTAATTTTAGAAAAGTTACAAATTATTGCAGAAACACAATTATTTTTAAGAGTAATAAAATTCTTCTTAAGGATTCAATTATTTTTACTAATAATAAAACTGATCGCAGCGTTTCAATTATTTTTCATACAATTATAATTGAATTCCTTGAAAAAAGTAATTATGTTCATGCAAGTTTTAATAAAATTCGACAAAAAATTCAATTATTTAAAAATTTGTTAGTAAAATTCTTTATGAGAATTGAATTTTGAGAAACATTCAATTATTCAATAAATTATTTACTTTTGCATTTAAATATAATTGAATTCTCGTAGAATTTTCTAATAAAAATTGATTTTTATTTCATAAAAATGAATTTCAGTTAAAATTTAAGATTATAATTGAATATTAAAAGCAATCTACCGTGAATTTTTAGAAATAATTGAATTTTGAAATTAATTTTTTTGAAAAAGTTTAATTGAATTTTTTTTGTATTATTTGAAGTTTTTATTTTCTAATATGAATTTAATTAAAGAATTTAGGAATAATTGAAATTTCGTGAAATTGAATATTGTAAACAAATGGATTTGAAAATTGCCAAAGAACTGTTACGAAAATTATTACAAATAATAGATATAAAGTAAAATTGTAGTTAAAAATTTTTGAAAATAGTAATTGAATTGAAGTAATTAAAATAATTTGGAAAAAGTATAATATTCTTATAATATAAAATAATGATTTTATTACTTGGTCATCTTTAATTATTACAAAATATGAAGAAATCAATGACTTCGAGTCGAAGACTCGGAGTTATCGATTTCTTCATGTTTTATAGTTATAAAAAAATTTAATGAACTAAAATTTCATTCATTGTAAAAATAACACCAAAATTGATTATTTTAATCTTTTTTTATGTTAATTTAATATTTTAATCTGCAACACTTTTTAATACTTTACGATTTACTGTGTAATCATTCATATAAATGAAGGTGATTGTTGAACTTAAAACTAAGATAATAATCGTTTTAAGGTTCTCACTATTCGCTAATCCACACAATTTCATTAGTAGAAAACTACTGATTTAGATTTAAAGAGTAAATAGTAGCTATTACTAAATGAGTGTGATGCCTGTAAAGACATTGAAACGAAATGATGACATAAAGCGACAAGAAGGGAAAAGAATGAAATAATATGTGACGCGACACGAGAAAAGGGACCTATCGCCGCAAAAGAGAATTTTACAGGGTGAGCGTTTAAAACGACGCCATGCGCAGAAAACCCGTGTATTTACGCGTACATCCCGTGTGGAAATTTGTCACGTATCTGTACCGTAATGATATAGTTTCACTAGTTCCTATCTAGTTGCGATACCGTGAAATGTTGTAGTAACTATCTTGAAATGTAACACTATGGACATCAAGTTTCTAGATAGTTTTACTATATCAGAACAATATAGTGAAATATTATAAAGCCATAACACGGGCTCTAGTATAAATTTCATTTTTAGAAACTTGTTTAATACTTCTATATTGATTTACGGTAAATATATTTGTAAAAATTAATAATAATAATAATTAATAACATATGTACAATATAATTATATAACAATATTAACAAAGTTTATAATTTTAATATATAAACTATTGTTAATTTTTAACAATATTAAAGATTTTAAAAGGTGCAACAATTTCATTGAATTTAAAAAATAATTTCGATTATTCGCTTTCTTCTTTTATACCATATTTTATTTTTAACAAGTCCAGTTATTTATTTGTTATTATTTTAAATTCTAATTAAGAATTTCAACCTATACTACACTTCACATTATTAACATAAATCACTTAAATTAAGACGGAAAAATATCGCACGCACGGGGGTTCGAACCCTAGACCTTTGGGACGCAATACAAATACACATACCACACAGCCACGCTGACTTGGAAGATGTGTTGCTTAAAATACCTTTTCAGTTTCGAGACTGCAATTTTTGCCTTTATTTATAATAAATTGTTTGTAAATGGTATATTTAAATCTATATATGAAGGGTGGCATGACAAAAGGGGTCAAGCAACAATTTTTCGAAATTGAGATTTTTTCATAAAAAAATCAAGTAAATTCATTTGCACAGTTCTGTAAAAGTATTTTTTTTGTAAATTGTTTTTTAAACTCGTTTTTAATAAAAATAAGAATAAAAAATAGCCTAAATTTTTACTTGCAATGCAATTCGGTTAAAAACAAAAGAAATGAATATTATTATGAATAGGTTAATATGGTTAAAAATATTGCTTTCTTTTTGATATAATTTAATATATATTAAATTTCGCTGAATTTTTTTTTGTCTATTTAGAAATAGTTTTATTCTTTACCTAATTTTCAATAATTTAAATATTATTCTTCTGTTAATTTTTAAATATTCCTGTTTGTAGTTTGCTTTTGAAAATTTATGTACTGTTTACTTTCAAAAGTTAACATTTAATTAACAATTTTCTTGAAAACAAACAGTTTTTTTGAAGCAAACTTTTTTGCATTCAATTCGTTAATTCAATATTAAAAAACTAATTTTTCAGTTTTTCTTTAAACTGTATATTTTTTTAACAATTAATTTTATAAGAAAATATGCACATTTGACGTAACCCCAAAATGGTCCACTTTTACTTATTTTTCTCTCTAATATGTAGGTTTATCTTCATAAATTGTATTTCTACTGGTAAAGCGAAATAATATCTCTAAACTGTTTTTTTAGATCTTTCTTTAATGATCAGAAAAATTTTTAAATGTGTTATTTTCGATTCCTGTAAAAACATGAAATTGTTGCTTGACCCCTTTTGTCATGCCACCCTTCATATACTTAATAACATTATTAATTACAATATGTAAATAATAATAATAATATTATAAACATAAAGAAATTACTTGCAGATTATGATTGTGAAGTTTCACTAGGCAGAATTGATCTAGATCGACAATATGAAGTAGTTAATGTAGTGAAACTATACAAATTCTAGACCGTATCCTAATGTAAAGCAGTTGTAGTGAAACTATACAGATTCTAGAACGTATTCCAATGTAAAGCAGTTAATGTAGTGGAACTATACAGAATCTAGACCATTTCGGTATAGTTTTACGTGACTAGCTTTACGAGATGTTTGCGGTACAGTTTCTATCTCGTATATAGTTTCACCAGACACTTTTCTGCACGGGATATGCTTAACTTTCGGGCTTTATATTATTAACACTATTGAAGTTTTTTAACTTTTGATTTTTTCACGTGAAAGAGCAAAGAATAATCTGTCGAATAGCACCATAATCTCAAAATCGATTTTTTTAACGATAGGTCCCTTTTCTCGTGTCGCGTCACATATAATTGCGGAATTGGCATGTGTGACGGAAGCCAATAGCATTGGCTATTTGTAGCCCGAATAGGAGCATGCAATCGGAATCACGATCGCAGTGATTCCTGCGAAGAATGATCGCCGCAGTGAGAGCATGCAGGATCGCGTGATCGTTTCTTCCTCGTCCATTAGGTTGTCCTTATCCCTCACTATATGCAAAAAGAAAAAGAGAGAGAGAGAGCCCTTTGCGCGATTCTCTCGTTTGGTTATAATGCATTCCAGACTGACCCTAATCTATGTAGTACCAGTGCAAAAGACCATTGGTACAGGTCCCCGGATATGATCGTTAAATTGCAGAATCGTGATCGTATTAATGTCACGAGCGAATCCATTTGCAGGTAATATTAAGGCAGAATTCCAATGTCCTTATTGTCTGTTAAATGAGCAAATTTTTTTTCTCTTCATTCCAT